GTGCTTCCAATGTCAGAGGAGAATATGTCAAGAACCTCTTTCTAGGTTCGGCTCTGGAGATCTTTGCATCACAGTAACATTTGGTTCAGCTTTATCTTGCACATGTATCATCATTCCGCAGCAGCAAAAAAAAAAAAAAAAAAAAAAAAAAAAAAGAAAAATGCAACAACACACCAGCATTCCAATTAGTGATGAAAGCTAGAGAAATTAGTCATTTCTCTCACCAGAATAGTTTCATCCCTAAACAGAGCCAATAATAAAGACTTATTCTATGGCATTGTTAAGATTAAGGAGTAACAAGAAATATGGGGAACTGAAATCAAACCCCTGTACTATAAATGGGACCCAGCCTCTTGTCTGTCTTCCTAGCCCAAGATGTCCTTACCTGTTCCTAATCAAAAGGAATTCGCTGATTTGAGGGAGTGATATAGGTAACATTACAAGGTCTTAATTCCCGGATTCAAGGTGTCATTTGCTTCCCTGATACGTAAGAATCTTGATGGTCAGTATTATTCTGGAGGGATCCGTGTAGGGCAGTTCCAGGTTCAGGCAGAATGTCACTGCCACCTTCATGTAACCCCCTAGAACGACTGGAGCCCACCTTGCTGATGTAAATTCCCTAATGAGTGCGATATCACTAACCAGTCAAAGCATGCGCATGAGCTCCACTGAGCAACCAGGAGGTTGGACATGAGCTAATCACACACATTCCTCAGCCCCAGTTTCAGTCTGTAAGCACCTTCATCCTCTAAGTCCCGTTAAGTCCTCAGGGAGCCTGGGAGTTAAGCGCTAGCTGCCTGGCTCCTTGCTCCAGGCCTTGCAATAAATATCTTCTTAATCCCACCACCTCAGTGTCAGTGACTGGCTTTCTGAGGGTCAGAGGCTCCAGTTTTGAAGTTCTACAGAAAGGCTTCCAACTAGCTTGTAGCTAGGATTTCCAATCCAGGGAGTTGATAGGCCTTTCTTCTTCAACAAGTTATGGAGTTTTAAGTTGGCTTTTATCTAGAAAACGAAGTATTAGATGAGGATGAGTCAACCCACACTTTGCAAATAAACTGTATCATCTGTATGCAAATATCCTCCTCTAGCTCACTGACCTCCTGTCAAGCACGTGCCTTTCTTATGGTACCAAACCAATATCTATCCTGAAGATGCCAGTAACCTCCTTGTTGCTAATCCCACTGATAGTTTTTAACTTTTCTACCTAAATTAACAACAGCAATTAATGCATGTTTTTTATTCTTTAGATATTTTTTTCTTCTTAAAAATTTATGCATTTGTTTATCTAGTTTTAAGGCAGATAAAAGGAGGTGCTTGTTCACACCCAGAATCCCTGCAGCAGCCTGGATTGCGCCATGCTGGTGGCAACAGTTGAGACCTCATTCCAAATGTTATACGTGAGTGGCCGAAGCCCAAGTATGTGGGTCATCACTTGTGGCCTCCTTGAGTGCACACTGGCAGGAATATGAAATCAGCAGTAGAGAAGGATTGTAAACTCAGACACTCTGATATGAAGTGTGAACATCCCGTACGTTGTCTTCTGTAGCAAATGCCTATGTCTTTATTTTAAATTTGGCCTTTCTCAGGTTTTGTCTTTCTTTCTCTTCCTCTTGAGACACTGTTCTTTAAAATATGGGTCTTAGATTTATTTTATAGTTTTGAACCTGTCATTGATACTGTCTCAACCCAGATGTTTCGAAGAATGGAACTCGCATTATTTTTAACATATTGTTTACCCAATACTATGTCAATTAATTCCATAATGTTGTATATTGATACTGAGGTTTTGTTGGGGCTTTTAACTGACCGGATCTTTACTCTGTTAGCCCTACCTTCAGACCAGAGAAGGTCTCCCCAAGAGGCCACTGAACTTATCTGGACAATAAGACGCTGAACTTTATGCTAGGCATGTGTTTGCAAGGAATGAATCTCAACTGAACTTGAACTATGGTTATGCAACAAGGTGGAGGAATCCACCATGGGGGGAAGGGTATGGGAGGGGTGGGGGGAATCCCCCACGCCTATAAAACTGTACCACATAATACAATGTAAACAACAATAAAAAAGAAAAGTTTTCTAACTTCAAATACCTTTGTCATCACTCCCAACCTACTTTCTGCAACAAGACAATACTGCAACACCTACACTCCTATATGCTCTCTGTCACTTGACAGTGCCACTTATGTGTATGATAGGCATTTCATGTCTTTACCATTGAGCCCCACATCATCTCCATTAGAGTGTCTCCTCCAGTGGTCTTCTCTGTTTTAGTATTGGGCAAGATCATCTTCCCAGCTGCTCCAGCCGTATTTTATGGCACATCCCCATTTCTTCTCTTTTTCTGATACTCAGTTCACATTGCCTGAGTAAATCTGGTCAGCTCTCTTTCCAAACATCTTCCAGAATATTTGGATTAACTCAACATCCCCAATCACATTTGATCCACCACTACATGCTCCAGTGGATGAAAATCCCTAACTGGGATTGTTTCTGTTGACTGGTTCTTCCTGTGTCTCTTTCTGTCTAAGGCATTCTACTGCATTTTCATATAACATCATGGTAATTATTGCAAGATGCATTATTCTGTTAGTTCTTTGCGCACCCTGTGTTGGCTTCATTCTCATCTGAGAATAGAAACCACAGTCTTCATAGTACCCTCTGAGGACCTACAGATTTTTCTGTCAAACTCCCCACTGGTTAATTCTCTTATCTCCCACTTTGCTCACTTTCTGTGTTGCTTAATCATCTCCAGACAGTGGGCTCTTGGATTTATCTTTCTTGTTCATGAGCATTCCCGCTTCAAGATCTTGGCACTAACAGTTCCCACAGATATGTGTGCAGATCACCATCCCGGTATTGAAATTGTCTTTAGAAAGTTTTTATCTGTCTCTCTATTTGTGTGTGTGTGTGTGTGTGTGTGTGTGTGTGTGGGAGAGAGAGAGAGAGAGAGAGAGAGAGAGAGAGAGAGAGAGAGAAAGAGAGAAAGAAAAAGAGAGCATGAGCGCTTCCATCTGCTGATTCACTGCCTGTATTGCTGCTGGGACTGCCTGAGGCCAAACCAGGAGCTGGGAGCTCAGTGCAGGTCTCCTACATGGGTGGCAGGACACATGTACCTCACCTGCTGCCCCTTGAAGTGAATATTAGAAGGAAGGTGGATCAGAAACACAGAAGGATTTGGAATGAGGTGCTTCAGTGTGGGGTGCAGGTTTTCCCAGCATCAGTGTCTTGACCACTGTAGCCCCCTGCCCCTCATTCCTTGTTTCCTGCAGGGGTATCTCTGTATCTGTTTTGAGTGCCTCCAGGATCATCCCATTGGACTTGTGGTTTTCCCTCAGAAACATTCTGTGGTCCGCATCCTCAGGCTCTTGCCGTCCTTCATTCTGCAGCCCACATTGCCTCCAACACAGTGCAGTGAGCACTCCTGGAGTGTTCTTCATCCTCCATTTCCCCTGCTGGAACACAGACTCTGTGCGATTGGAGGGCTCCCACACGGGAGGCAGAAACTCCTTCACTGTTGCCTCCCAGGGTCTGCCTGAGCAAGAGCTGGGCTCAGGAGTGGGAGCCAGAGATCAAAGCCACTGTGGGATTTGGTCACTGTGGCTACTAGGCCAAGGGACCTCTCCTGGAATTCCTAGCTCTCTGCCATCAGAAGTGTGGACCTCACACTTTGAGTATTGCATCTCCATCAAAAATATTTCTGTAGGTTTCTAGAATCCAGAAATGTAGAGATTTGAACCTTCTATTCATGCTGCATGATTTGCGCACTACAGCTAACAGTGAACAGAGATGACTGACTTTTTTCTAATTTAATCATTTCCTGACTGTTCAAGGCTGTTTCAGGGTATATATTCCTGGTTCTATTCTGTTGATTCTTTGGAGATAATCCACATTGTCTGTTTGAGGTCTATGCAGAGTTGCATCCTTGTTATCTGTGTAGTGATTTTCTGTACCAGTGGTAAATGCATAAGTTCTTCCACCAAAGGACATCAACCCCTGTGCACCGCTCAGCCAGCAGTGTCTTCTGTGCCTGGCAGAGTGACAACTTTTCCCTCCCAGGGGCTGTTTTCCCTGCTCCCTGGCCTTGTAAAATACCAGTTCAGGGAACACCCAGGTATACTGAGTATTTTCTTTGCAGTCTAGTTCACTGTTTGCAGAGAAAAAGCCATGTGTTGTCTGTTTCAACATGACATCGCATCACTTACCCTGTTGTTCCCCCTCAGTTAATATGGCCAAATCCACCTGGAACATTCATTTGCTTATAAACACAGGACGTACTCTGGGCAAATGTATGCCTTTGTGGATGCAGGTTTTCCTGCTTGTTCTTCACTGTTTATCTTGAGAGCACATTTCCCCATTGGCTTGACAGAAATGCCCTCTTGCCCCTGTGTGGGGCTCGTGGAGTGCGTAGGGTGGCTGCTGCACAGCAGCTTCAGCGTGTTGGGATCTACTGCCTGCACCTGCAGGTCCACCCCCTCCTTCTATCCCAGCCTGTGAATCCTGAGTCCTGTGACTTCTGAATCCTAATGTCTATTCCCAAGCCTTATGTTGCATAGGGCATGCTCGGAAACTGTGTTGGGTGAATGACTAATAGGATGAGTGTCATTGTAATAAAAAAAATGGAATAGTAGTCATTTGAGGTCATTCCCAGTTTAATGCCTATGAAGGTTGACTCTGTGCTTTTATTTGTATTTTTCTACTTTCTCTAACAAATCCCCTCTACAGTGTACATGGGCCATCTGAGACAGAGAAGTACGTTGTTATATTTAAATGCACTCCAGAGATTTTTTTTCATTTTGCTTTTTGAATTTCCAGGGAACAGGCTAGTATGTGCCTTTAAACTTCTTTGCTTCTTTTTCCTCCTGCTTCCCCCCACCTCCATCTCAAGGGGCCCCAATCTTCATTCACATTCTGCCAAAGGGTCTGCTGTAAACAATGATTTTATGAGCAGTTGGTTGTGTGTATTCATTGCAGTGAAAACCCGCCTTGTTTTCTGTTGCTAGGCAACCCCATTCCAGCTGCCATTGAAGAAATGCGCGGTGGTGGGCAATGGTGGGATTCTCAAGAAGAGTGGCTGTGGCCGTCAAATAGATGAAGCAGATTTTGTCATGCGGTAAGAGGGAGCACCCGCAGCGCGGCCTCCGCCTCCTCTCCTGTCCCTACCCTTCCTTCGAGCCCTAGGACCTTTCAGAACTAGTCACTTGTGATTAATCGGTTGCAGCAGCGCCTTGCCTCTGTTCCCAGCTCACATGCCAGTGAGTCAAGGCCAGGGGTCAGGGAGGGAGAGAACCTACCCCAGTAAAGTTCAAAGCCAAGGAAGTTCAGAGGTGGCAGAGATCCTGTGCTGTGAACAGAGGCATCAGGGAAATGTGCCAACATTCAGATCTTAGTTTAGATCCTTAATCAGGTGATTAAAACTTTTCACATCACTCCTTTTGTGAAGACTAGCTCCACATGCATAAACATTTTACTTTATTCACTTTATCTGACTCCCCATTCTTAGTTTGTCACAAAGGCACTGATAAGCAGCCAGTGGGATCTGAGGAAGGATTTGATCTGTGGATGACAAGGAAATTGGAAATGGGAGCGGAGTGACTACAATGAGGAGGTTAGCATGGTGAAGGGACTGAGCAGGTGATACATACATCAATCAGTTCCAGGAAAACAGGGGACCCCTGCGGAGCATGGAAGGAATCCTTAGGACACAGACAACTCAGGATGGGTCCAAAAGGGATGCCTGCTTACCCTGTGGATGATTTTGATGAGAAATGCTTAGTAGGTATCCAAGCAAAGAGAGCAGGCGATTGGGTGAGTGCAGGTCTGAAAGGATCTTGGAAACAGGAAGGTGGGACGAGGAGTGACAATGTGAAGGGCTCTCGCTGGAGAATGAGGAACAGCACACCTTGACATCTGGGTGGGCCAGGAGGTGGGACGTTGAGACTGGTAGGAGAGGAAGGAAGGTGACCAGATAGATGACAGAGTCTTTCAGATGACAGAGGGCTCATGGCCAAGGTGGGCGAGAGATGGTGTAAGAAGAGCTACAGTCAGAGGATAGCCCACTGGGCAATCAGTTTTCAGAGCTTTGGTCTGACTTGTAGAAACAGAATTCTACATTCCTGGGAAAGGGAAGGGAGTGTTGAAACTCAACTCTGGGTGGGGGTGTTGCTTCAAGTGGACCCCAAAGTGTCACTGAAGTGGAAAAGATCAGGAGCCAAGGGCACAGAGGCTGGGTAGGGTGGGGATGGCAGGAACATGGGGGCAGAAAACTGAGTGAAGGAAGGAGATTTTTTTCTTTTATGTTTTTAAAAGATAAATCAACTGTGATATAACAGTCATAGTGAGAAGCAGCCAAGAGAACATGGAGCCACCTCAGGACTCTGAGATAAGTGGGTTGTAGAGAATAAAGGCTGTGTGACAGGGTTCCAGGAGCCTTGAGCTTAGGGCTGAGTTTGAGCTGGAGTCCTGCAGAAATAGCAGGAAAATAGCAAGGAAAAGATCCACCTTTTTTCTACCCAGATGCCCTGGTGTAGTTTCTCCAGGGTAGGACTGTGTTTTCTCCTCCATTGCCTTTTTATTTTAGTTTATTTTTTACCCAATATATATAAGCAATAGAAAAATTTAAAAATTGAAAATTGAGTTTGACTGTGTACAGCCTCTGTGTATTGGGCACCTGCTCTGCACTGGGCCTTCTCTGGGTCCAAGAGTGGTGTGCTGAGTAATTCTCCCATGCAGGTGGATCTTGGAGTTGTGCTCACTGTCACAGGGAATGGGAGACAGAAGGGGGTGGACAGAAACTTCTGCAGAAAGAGGTGCTGAGCTGAGTTCCCTCTTCATTCCCTCAAGTGCTGCGGCAAAATCATGAACATGGGGAGGAAGGCGTTGGTGGAGGGGCTAGAGAGGCACCTGCATCTGAGAAGCAGGCCAGACCTATGGAAAGCACGAGGGGATAAGGAGAACAGAGACCCTGGCCAAATTCAGACATTCACTGCCCTCTGGGGTATGGTGTTAGGTGAGATTAAGTACCAGTAAAGGGCGTCGAGAACTGGGAGGACAGATCTGGGGCTGTGGCCCACAGCACTCGTGTTACCTTTGCTATCTAACGTGCATGAGGTAGGAGTACCCGGCACCTGAAGCCTTGACTGGGTAGTGCTGGTTCTGTTCAGGGCTATAGGAATTCTGTGTATCTGTGTGGCCCAGCCTCAGTTTTCAGGTTATGCTTGAGAGTCAGTTCATTTGTTCTTTCACAAACTTTGTAAAAATGGAGCGTTAGCATGCTGAATCCCACAGATTGAGGGAAGGGAGGTATGTTAAGTGGTCACAATGCAGTGAGGAGGGAGACAGTGTAACATACATATTTTAATGTGATTTCTTAGTTTGTGTGCATGTATGTGCATGCATTCAGGAAGATGGATATTTTAACCTTAGCATGTAGCATCAGGCTTGGCACCACAGGAATTATCTAGTGGGTGGCTGTGTCCATCACAAATAAAGCCAAGTTGGCCTTATATACAATCTGGTGTCAGTATAGTCAAGTTCAGAATTAGAGCGGGATGGGATTGGAATGTCTGGTGAAATATCAAGCATGTTCATTGAATGGTGAGGAAGGTGTGGATTGAAAACAAATTTGTGAAGATAGCATAGAACAATATGTGCACGTGCCTTTGATTTGATTTCGAGAACAGAACCACTTTATTAATGCTTTTGAGAGGTGAGAGAAAAAGAATGAGAGTGAGAATGAGAGCGAGAGAGCTCATCTGCTTGTCCGTTCTCCAGATGCCTGCAGCAGCCCCAGCTGGGGCTGAATCTGGGGACTGGGAACCCAATGCTGGCCTCACACATGGGTGGTGAGAATCCAGCGCATTGAGTCATCATCACTGCCTCCTAAGGTCTGCATTCACAAGAAAACACAGAGTCAAGAGTTGGCCATCCAGTCTAGGTGCTCTGGTGTGCCACCTGTGCATGTTTAACCAGCGTCTGAACTACTAGGCTAAATGCTGGCCCCAATAATTCTGCCATTTTGTATCACATTTGATTTAAAAAAATTTTTTTAATGGTTTGCAATAGAGGAGTAATAAATGTTAATGGGCTTTTAAAATTGTTGTTTGGATCTATTTGGAAGGACTCCTTAATGGATCTTTGTTTGGGGAGAGCCCTGGGAAATTTAGACAATATCCATTCAAAATTAAACATTTAGTTAGGTGTGCATTTGAAAGCACATGGTATAGCTGGCTCTAGACTTTGAGACACAGAGAAGGACAGAAAAAGAACCCTCTCACTCTGTAGGCGCTGTGTCATACTGCAGTTCAGAACATCTCAGGCTATGGGAAAATGACAGTTTCATAATTTCTTTGCTTAGATATTTTCAGATATATGTAAAATATGCAAAATTGATTTCTTATTTTCAAAATGAACATTTGCTCTATAACCAAAAGCGCTACTCTAAAAGATAGCACTGTTGAGTCCTATTTACCTGGGAGGTCCACAGACAGAAGTGACTTCAGGTATGTCTCGGCAAGTGTTGGGCAGCTCAGGAACAAAGTTAGAGCAGCACTTTGGGTGCCTTTTGAATTGTGCTCCAACACAAATTTTGCAACCCAAAATACATGTAAGATTTTAGAAGTAATTTTATAAGTTCCTATTTAAAGATTCCTTTCACTAAGCCCATTCCCCACCCACCTCCACTCTGTAATGCAAAAAAATTCTTCGAATCATTGCTTACCAATTCTGTGATCAGATCACTCCCAGGATCGTGAGCACAGTTACCAAGATACTTTTGCTGTTAATACGTGTTAATTGTGCCAACAAGTGATAATGGAAAGTTTAAAACACTTTTACACAATTATGCCTTATTAGATACAATTTGGCTGTTTTCATTGTGTCTTTTATGTGAATCTATGTAATTATGAATTTAGGCATCGAGGAGTTACAATTACAGCATGTGTTTGCTGAGATAGGAGATGTGGGGAGGTATCAGTTAGTTGCAGTTAAACAGAAATATCAACCCAGAAGAGTGGCAGGCTGTCAATTTCCATTAAGTTGTGTTATCTTTATTTTCTGGAAATGCTTTTCAAAATACTATCTTTATTGCTCCAAAAATTGTCCTCTGTTGTGCGATGTATTCAGTATATGGCAGTCTGTATTGGGTTTTTGTTCTGTGGTAGGATGTTTGCAATAGACTTGGGCATTCCTCGGCATGACATCAGAAAAACAAGCAATTGACTCATGAGAATCAACTTGTTTCATTGAATAATGGCAAAGCCAGTGGAGAACACTCAGCTGCAGTGTTTTCAGTTTTAGTTTTAGTTTGATATGGCTGATTTTCAGATGTCAGTGAGAACAACTGAGACCGAAGTGAAGTTGCCAATGGTGAGATCAGCATTCATAATTGGAGCACTAGTTCGAGTCCCAGTGGCTTAACTTCTAGCCCAGTTCTCTGTAACTGTACCTAGGAAGGCAGCGAAAGATGACTCAAATGGTTTGGCCTCTGTACCTGTGTGGGAAGCCCAGCTCGAGTTTCTGGGTTATAGTTTCAGCCTAGTCCAACCTCAGCCATTTTGGGAGTGACCCAGCAGGTAGAAGAGCTGTCTCTTTACCTGTGTGCAGAAAGTGGTACAACCACTGAACAGCAGATGTCTCAAGAGAAGCCTCTGTGGTGAGCTGTCCCACGCCGCCCTACAATGTCCTCTGTGTTTGTTCTTAGTGAGCATTAGCAAAAATTGCCAACTGTCTGGCTGGCTGACCTGTGGCTCACTGCCAGGACAGCCAGAATCTCATTACCGAAGAGCAGATCAAAGAAATAATTGAAATCAACTGAGACAAGAGTCTGAGTAGGATGTCCTGATGTGGTGGGAGTCACAGGGTAAATACAAAGTGGGATCAGGGAACTGGAGCTCATCAGCTGAGCAGCTGCACAGACAACCTCATGTCCTGGGGGAAGTTTGCAGAGAAATTAATCTACTTGCAGGATTAGCGGAGACTTCAATAGTTGTACGAGATCTTTGCCTTTGAATAAATGGTGCCTTGGTTTGCTGAAATAATAAAACTTTAGGGATATCCTGATGCAGTAGGAGTCATGTTAAGATATATGAGACATTTCTAACAGTTATTGGGAAATTTGAATTAAAAGAGAAATTCAGGTAAGGGATTGGGTGTAGAGATGAAGACATTACTTGGTACTTTCACATCCTTTGTCAACCACCTGGAGTCCTAGCTCCACTATGAATTTTGACTTCCTCTTAATAACTACCCTTGGAGGCAGCCAGAGACAGCTCAAGTACTTGAATCACAGTCATCCATGTAGTAGATCCAACTTGATCTGCCAGCGTCTGGCTTCGGCCTGACATAGACCTGTGGTAGGCATTCAACCCTGTCTGTTTATCTCTTTACTTTTAAATCAGTTTTTAACAAAGTGTTTATCTGGGTGCAAAGAAGTTTTGAAATCATTAATAATTTATACTTTCTATGAACTTTATGAGGAGCTTTCATAGGTGAGTGTGGGAAATTAAATAAAATAATAAAGAAAACCTAGTGGAACCTAAATGTATATTTAATTATGTTTTTATATAATTTTTTATTTGTGTTATTTCTTAGCTTGTACTATATGTAGGGCATAAATTGGGATTTTTGTATTTATATAAACTTCTTTTAGTCTTAAAACAACTGTATGAGAAATAAAAAATCATTATTCACTTCTTATGTAATAGGGAAACTGAGACCAGGCAAGTGAATCAACTTGCCTAATGTCCCACAGGCTGCAAGCTGTGGGCTTTGGACTTGCGCTGGCTGTAGATCTCATTGTAAACATTCATTCAGACATCGTGGCCAAGGAAAACAACTGGGCCCAGGGAGGTGTTAGGAGTGGGAGTGAGGGACTGATTCATGACCAAGGGGAACATCACTTGTGTTGTTTTCATTGGCTGATCTGAGTCAGTAGAGAATCATCACCCTTCTCTGGATGCCAGATCCCTATGTCTTTACCACCAATTGCACTATGCGCTGGCCTTGTACCAATATTGAGTTCTGCATCGTCCTGAATGTACTGTTGAAAGAAAGAAAAGCATAAGCGAGTATAATTTCTTCCTGTTTCTTGAGGTCTGTAGGTTTGTGGAAAACACTGTGGGCCCTGTGTGCTCTGGTGTGCCACACCATCCTGAGCTTTAATTTTGAGACTGGGACTTGTTGTTGTCTGACCACCTCAAAAACATTTTGGGTGGACTAGATGCACAGTAGTCAGTGTCTTTTTCCTTTCATGGGTCATTTACTTCTCAGGCTGACATTCTCTTTCTTCCAAAACAGAGCTAGTTTTAATAACAGCGCTTTGAAGATGCTGATGGTTAGTCATCTTATGTCTATTAAAAGGGAGAGATGGTAAAAACAATTATTTGTGAACTGAGCTAGAATTAATAAAATTCTTATCTGTGTCATTATAACTGACTTGATTTAACAGTCTATGAATCCTAAAGTATGTGCTCTTATGTCTCTAGATGCAATCTTCCTCCTTTGTCAAGTGAATACACAAAAGACGTTGGATCCAGAAGTCATCTAGTGACAGCTAATCCCAGCATCATTCGGCAAAGGTGAGAGCTTACAACTTGCTCATTGTAAGGAACTTAAGAGGAAAATGTTTGAAGTAGTTAACATCTCCTGGGTAGTGAGCAGAATTCAATTTGGGAAAATGAAGAGGAGAACCATCTGGACTGGCAGGAAGGGTGAAGGAGGAATTGTAAAGGAGGCAGGATAGTGGGAGTCCATGCAGTGCTCAGTGCTTCCTCCCTGACTCTGTCCCTCGCTCTCAGAGGTGGCACTGCTAGCATGAGGATCAGTTGTGTCCCAAGCAGCCACACCAGCATCCTGCTTACTCATTACTGCCACTTGCCAGTTTGTTGGTTTCAGTACCAACTTGACTAACTGGCAGCTGAGACTGAATTCATGAAACAGAATAAAAACAAGAAAATGACCAATCTATTGCAGAAGGCATGCATTAAATAGCAGAATTATCAGAATGTACGGTAAGCTGTGATTGTTGTCATTGAGTCAGTTTTGTGAGAGCAGATGGGATATTCTGGTTTTAGTATCAGTGCCACTCTCAGAGTCTCTGAGGTGGTCATTCTCTAGTTGACAGAGCCCATTAATGAGCCATCAGCTGTTTCTCCGAGGGCTCTTTGTTGTGGACAGTGAACCATACTCTGAAGAGGAAGGAGTCAGCCTTGTCTTTAGACCCACTTGGATACTGGCAATACACAGGGAAATATCCACATGTTCTGAGCACAGGCATGAATCCTCAAAGGAAGTCCTGTTCATGTGAAAAACCCACAAGTGCCACTTTACACAATGTGCACTATTTATTTTGGTCCATAAAATGTGCGCACAAGTCCAATGCCTTCTGTATTCAGTGCTCCTCAGAAATAATGTTGTTTAATAATTGGATTGTTATTTTGAGCTGGGCATAAAATAACTTTTAAGAAAGAATGGATTTTTTTCTAGAGTGGACTGAAAGAAGCATTAAACATATCACCTTCAAGAGAGGAATAGTCTGTTTTTGTTTTATATCAATACTTGGGGTTGGTGCTTAGCTTTAAAAAGAAAGTTGAAAAACATACTTAACACTAAATGAGAGAGGGGACAGGAAAGTGGGAGAGAGAGAGAAAGAGAGATTATGCTTTTAAGGAAAAAATCTGATGACAAGAAGAGGAAGGACAGGGTCAAATATTGAAGATTGACTTGTTAATGAGGATTTGAGAATGAAGCAAGCAGCACGGAAGGAATGTAATGAGTGTGTGATAAGCCTGTGCCCTATAGAGGCTTGCTGCACTTAATCCTCAGGACCACCCGACAGGTAGCACTGTTTCAATTCATGTGTTTTATGGAAGAAGGAGCTAGCAATGCTGCCAGTCTAGCAAGCTGTTCATACAGCTGCTAAGATTCAAACCCTGGACACCATCTAGGCCTCTCTAATTCCAAAGCTTGTGCTGCAACAGTGAGCATCAGTGATCAAATGTTCCCAAATGACGCATGCCTTTGCACAGAAAGACAATAGAGTTTATACAGGTGATAGATCATTTTGGAAAAAATGAATCAAAATTTCTTCACTTAACGAAAGGCCTCTCTGTCTCTGCCTGCCAAATATATATGAAAACGGGCAGGAGGAAGCATTTAACGTAGATGATCAGATACTCGTATCTGGGTTTGATTCTTTGCCATGCTCTTGATTCTAGGTTACTGCGTATGTGCTCTGTGGAAGGCAGGGGGTGATGGCTTAAGGTAGTTGAGGCCTGGGTTGTGTAGCTGGCTACCGGCTTGAACCCAGCCAAACCCCAGCCATTGAGGGTATTTGCATAGTAGACCAACAGATGGAAGTTCTCTCTCTCTCTCAAATGTATGCAATGTAACAAGGTTTAGATACCAAATCATATGGACACAGCAATTCTATTTTGTTAAATAATCAAAGCATTCCATTTACAGTGGGATTAAATTACATGACAAAAAAGAAACGGTGCTCCATGGTAAGATTTTGAAATTCTATTGAAAGACATTTCAGACAAACTGATTAAATTTAGCAGTATACCACATGTATGAATGAAGGATTCAGCATTATGAATGCATTAGGTCTGCCCAAATCAACCTGTACATTTGTTGAAATTCCAGCAGAATTCCTATCAGTAGTTGCGTTTCTGGGGGTGTGTAACTTGACAAGTTGATTCACAACATTATATGGAAATGTGGAGAGCAAAGAACAGCAAGGAAATGGTTATAGGAGAAGGTTGGAAGAGTTGCTGTATCATGACTTGATGCAAATCTGTTATACCTAAACACTATGGCCTTAATGCAAAGATAAATCAGTTAATCAGGGAGGATAGGGGACCTTCAGATAGCTTCACATCTAGCTGTGCTTGTGAGCCAGAGGCATTCTTGAAAATCAATGAGGAAAGGACAAAGTTTCACATAGGCTCTGTGAGTTCTGAAACAAGAGCCAAACAGCACATTTTAAAGGAAAATAGTGATTAGTTGGGCTTTATTAAAATTAGGAACTTTTATTCATAAAAAGAAGACATGATGAAAGTATGGTAGATATAGTCACATTATAGAAAAAGGCAACAGAAGAGCTCAGGCAGAATTTGTGAAGAACATCTTTTATATTAAACTTAGGAAAAAATTAAGACCTAGGAGGAAATTCAATTAAGGAGTTGGACTACTACTTCATAGACGTCATAATAAATCCAAATACCAGGATAGTTCAGAAAGCCCGTGGAAAATGCATATTATGAAGAAAATTCTGCGTGAATTTCAAATCTTTAGTACCAAAATTGGCTTATCTTTTAATTCTATTTCTACAAACTTCTTGACATATCATCCTAACCAATAGATGAATGAAAATATATGCTGTACCTCATTAAGTAATCAGAAAAATGCAAATCAAAACCCTAATGCAATACATCATTATGCATTCATGATATTGGCATGAATTACTCCAAATGTTCATAGGAATATGGAGTAGCAGAAACTGTCATCTGTGTTGCTTGGAGTGCATGCTGTTACTGCTACTTGCAACTCGCTTTGATGCACGTTCCCTGTGTCTCAGCAGTTCCATTCCTAGATATATACTCTGAGGAAAAAAGAATTAACTATAAAAGAGAAATGTGTAATAACAAGTTATTGTACTGCTAAACTCTAAAAATATACACGTGTGCATCAACAGAAGAATGAGTAAGTAAATTCAGGTATTTCCTCACAGTGGCATGATTGACAGAAACAAACTGCTAGCTGCACATCATTAAAAGGATAAACTTCATAATGCTGAGAAAAAAGAAATTATCAATACAGTAGCATTCTAAATAACGTTAAAATAGTATCAGTTAACAGTATGATAGAAGGGGAGCCAGGACTTGAAGCTAGGCACTCTGATATGGAGTGTATGTCCTTTACCACATCTTATGCATTGAGCCAAACACCCACCCTTGTACAATTTTGTTTAGAAATCCAAACATCGTGTGTGTGTGTGTGCACGCGCGCGCGTGCTTAGGAAAATATTATGAAAAAGTGTGCATGGATTTCAAAATTTTTACAAAAAATTACCTTTTCCAAACCTTTTCTTTATATGTTAGATGTTTTTTTCTGTATATTTTCTTGTGTATTTTGTAAAAAAGAAAAAAAAATCCTAAGAGATAGAGTATAACAGTTTTAATTTTAGATGTTCAGAGTTTGCTTTTTTGATAAAATTGAGTTCCAGAGAAATCTACTCTAATAAATTCTGAATATAATAATAATAATAGTTTCTATCTTACACATAAGGAATCATAAAGAGATCTGAATGGAACTGTAGGTAAAGGTTTATTAGTACCCATGTTGATGATACAAATTTCTGTTAAAATTGAAGCACGATTAATATTTTAACACAAGAATGATTAACTTTTCCCTTATAGAAAAGATCAAATGGATACCAAGTACTGAAAACCTCTGATTGAGTAAATAGTGCTTGTGTAATATTTGCAGTCTCTTTTTGTGGCTAGCAGTATGTGCAGTTGGACTAAATGACTAAGTACAGATATTTGTCTTTGGGGATTAAAATACAGATGATGATATTACACTATTGTGGTGTGCTAAAACGGAAGAAATGAAATTTAACTGGGAAAGATACAAGTATTTCTCTATTAGATATTTCATTCATATCTAGTAGTATTTTCAAACCTTTGAAAGTGATTAGATATTAAATTCATTGGACAAAGATGTACATTAGAAATGTTAAGTATTAGTAATTTTCATAGCTACCCTATAAGTCTGGATTCTGATATTCTGTTTAGAGCTGTAAGCATTAAGAGTTTTCATTACAAAATTTGTTCAGAAAATATCAGTAATATGAAGCAGTTTCAGAAGAATTATATTCTTATATGCATATTAATATGTACATAATATATATGAAAGGTAGACACAATTGGGGTAACAGACAGTCAGAGAAGATATAATTTATGACTGTATTTAAAATCACTTCCCACCATGTGTGTTAGGAAGGACCCACATACTTGAGCCATCACTCTGCATCTCCCAGGTGCATTAGCAGACTGCTGAATAGGAACTAGAGTAGCCACGACTTAAACCAGGCACTCGAGTAAGAGATGCAGGAATGTGAAGCTACAGTATAACCAGCTGTGTGCTCACCATGGAGGGAGAGGTTATAAATTTTAGACAATATTTATAAAAAGCTTTATGCTTGTACATGTCTGCATTTTTCATTAGATTTTTCAAAGGTATTTCTCTCACAAGAAGTTATAAGTTCATTGGTCTAAATTGAGTCATTCTATGGTAGCATAATATAAATAGAGATTGGAGTCCTGGTATAGTTTCAGTTTCTGCACTTTTCCAATAGAGTTGAAAACTCAGCAAGCTGTTTTTCCCATAAGAGTTCATGGTATTCTGGGGGAAGATGTGTATTTGGGCAGATGACTGTTAGAAGATAAAAACTGTAATTTCATTCATTGTCCTGTTAGAACCTTTAGAACTCATTTGTGAACATGGAGGTAGAACAACTTGGGAGATGGTTATTATTTGCAGCCACTTGAAAAGCAACCTTTAACAAAACGTG